AGTGGGCAGAAGAGATTGACTAAACATCTTTTACTAGCTGAGCTGTTAAGAATTAAAGGTTAATTTTAATGGAGTTTGGTAGCAGAATTCAGATAATAGGACCTTGTTCTTAGATCGCTGATCCATCATATATGTGACATGGCCATGCCGAATTGTATTCCTTGGTTGTGTGAAGGTTCTTGTCAAGTATTTTGATTTTTGACTATAAATCCAATCTATGGAATAATTTCAAAGGGAGTAATTATGGCAGCCTGCTTTCTGTCAATAGATATGAAACTAGGATAGTTGCTCTATTTTGTAAACGTGTATACTTGTATTTTGTATCTTCCCTCATCTCCTCCACTGCCAGTGGTGTGTGTTCCTCGAGCGCTTTGAGCCTGGGAACTTCTCCTTTTACCTCCATAGTGGAGAGGACATAGAATGCCCTTCAGAAAAGGAGGGTATTGACTGTTGTTCTGTGACAGAGGCTGCTGTGCCTCTATCAGAAAAGGGGCCCTGGTTGCTGAAAGGGAGGAGGGAAATGCTGCCTCGTTATGAAGTAGATAGTGACTGTCATTTCTGTGCACTCCTACAACCGTTATTGCAGAATCGCGTGGAAACCTGTCTGAAAGTGAACTCTACCACTTTGCTCAGCAGCGGGAGGAAACCAGCTCTGTTATTTGGTTCTTAGTTTTCAAATTTCTTCATGAAGGAAACAGGTTGGCCTTATCATCCAAGGTGTAGTTGTGTTCTCAGATGAGCTGAAATGAAATATTGCTGCTAGCTTGGCAGTTTCAAACACAACTTACCTTCTCTTTTTGGACAACTGCATGACAATAACTGGCTTTTATTCCTTGTGTTTAGCATTAGAATCACTCTAGCTTATGTCCATGTTACAAAATACCAAACAGTGGGATACTACTCAACATTCTACTGGAATAGAATGTGTTATTTATTGTGTAACTAAATTTAATCAATTTTTCTACATGTTTGGTAACTAATTAATGGACTGCTTAATTCAAAGGCACTTTTTCATTTTACTCTATATAGAAAGTTGTCATGTTTTAGGGGAGACTTCTGAGATCACAGGAAGTGAAGGTACTGAAAATGTGTATGTACATTGTTTTTGTGAACAAGTTTTTATAACTCAAAACTTTCCTGCCCTGTGTCTGTCTCCTCCCCCAAGTAGGAAGATTCTGTAGTGCTGTGCAGCTTTCGTGGGGTTGCAAGTTTACATTTCTAAAAAAACCTCTTTGACCAGATTCTGCTTATCCCTTAAATATTGGCAAAATGCTAGCGTAAGCAACCTGTGATAGATACAGGAAGAGTAACTTCCTCTTTTCACAATTGATGCAAGAGTTTCAAGTTACTGACTTAAAAAAAAGAAAATACAGCTTTACAGTAGGAAGAACGTTTTCCTAGCTTCTTAAGGAAGCAGTCCACATGTCGTCTCTCTTGATTTTGGCCTGCCAGTAAGCTTTGAGGCTGCTATCCAGTGTTGAGCAAATTTGATGAAGGGGTCTAAACTACTGAAGTTCCTGTAATAGGGATGGACAGTGTATGGCTGCAAGAGAACCACAGCCTGGTTTTGTCTCTAGCTGAACTAGGCAACCTCCAGCATAGGAAGGGAATGTAAGGGAGCTGCATAACGTAAGTGGCTGTGGTACTAGGAAATAAAGGACTGAGGATTTTGGGAGCTAGGTACAGGAATTGTGGTGGGAAGGCTTAGTGTACTATGTCATCTGTGTGATGCAACACTGCTGAAAGCCTGAATTTAATATGTTTTATTAGTTCTTCTGCGCTTATTTTTGAGACTTAGAATAAAATCACTAAAAGTGTTCTGCGTGCCACATGGTGTATATTGCTGCACAGCTAGTTCTGACTTGAGGCTATTCTGGTTTTCACTATTCTTTTATTTCTTTTATTTCCTCTATTATCTGTTTCAACATTGACTGTCAGCAAGAAAACCCACCCAAAACAATTTTTTCTAATCTGCATACTCGGATGTGTTCCCTGCTCTATAGTAGTACCCTTCTGTGCTAAGCAGGCAGTTATTTCTTGTCCAGAGATGCTTTCCTTTTGCAGGTTCCTTTTTGTTAAGCTTTTCACTGCAGCCATTCAGGCTATCCATGCATTTTGTCTGTCAGTACCTGAAACCACGTTCTACAGCTGTGTTAGTGGTGTTAATAACAGTCAAACTTTAGCTGAAGAGTGCTCCGTGTCCATTTCCATCTGCAGCTGGAGAACTAAAATACTGAAGGTTGTATTTAACCATGCTGTTTATGCCTCTGGCAAATTACACAATGCTGTTTGTCACAAGCTGTAGCTATTTGGCTTTTCAGTAAGATGGGAAGGAGTTCAAGGTGGTTTGTTTTAAACATTAATGTGGTTTACAGTGATTTGTTCAGGTTTCTGTTGTTATTTCTTCCTGATCCAGAAAGTGATTTATCTCTCCCTAAGCACCAAAAGGACAATTTGATATGTTTAAGACATTTTAAATATGTATTTTCTTGGCTTTCTAATATGGTATGCATATAGTTTTTATACAGGTATGTTTGAAATGGTGTGAAAATCAAGGATTTATTTGTATGTTCAGCATACAGTTCTTACTTGAATGCTTGCATGGAGAAATATCTGGGTTGCATGACTAGTTCCAGAAGGTGCATGTACTTAATACATAAAGTAATGTATTGCTAAATGGAAATACTTAGCCCAAACGGAGTGTGCATACTTGTCCTGTATTTTGCAACACTGGTGGATAGTGAGTGGCTTTGATAGTACTACCACTGCAGCTACTACTATTAGCAACAAATAATACCTTACCTCATCATACTGGCAAACTAGTTTACTGCTTGTCTTTCTTTTGAAATAGTTTTTTGTCCATGATTTTATATCTATTTGCTTGCATTTCAGAATTTTACTTTTAAGAGGAAGAATAAACCTTATCATTAAAATAGCAGCAGCGGCTCTGCAGTTACACAATATGTAAGGTTTTTGAAAAATTAATGAAAAAATCTACAATAGCTTTAAAATTTTGGAGTTGTTTTACCTTTCTGGCAAAATATTTTTCTTTTTTACTACTTGACTCTCACCAAAAATTTTGTTTTCTCCACTCATTATCATTGATGTTTTATGAGGGTGATAGCATTTGTAGTGATGAGCTTGATATTTCATTATTTTTACCCTTAAAATTCATGGCTCCAGATAATTGCATGAGAATCTCAGGTTTTCCAATAATTTTTGTATGTTTACTTTTTTTAATGTATTCAAAATACAAAGGCAGAAAAATCTCATCCTTTTCATTAATTTGAAATCTCTGAAAGTAGGTTTAAAACCCAGTCTTTTGAGGACCTGGATGATATTTCAGTGTTTGTGGTTGTAATTATATCGCATTTAAGAGTAGACTCAGTAGCAAAGCTGTTAATCATGTGCATTTTGGTGGTATGTAGGGATGAATCGAGAGTGGGATCCATAGAATTTGCTGCCTCCTTAGATGAGGCAGATATGAATGGGGAAAGGTCATAATGAAGTGAACACCTCAAGGATCTTAACAGCTAGTAATACCATTAACTGTAGATTTTTTGGGAAAAAAAAATTAGCATTCCTCTAAATGGAAAGAGGTACGCAGGTCAGTAGAAAAGCAGAACAGGTATGGAATTGCGCTATGATGACGAGACCCGCGAGAAGATGTCACTAACCTCAATTAGGCAGGAAAAAAGCATTGTCGGAATGTCTTCAGCTGTTTTTTTCATATCTTCTTTCTCTACTGGGTCTGGCTGGTTTTCTCTTCCATTTTTCTTGACAGTTAATAGAGGCAGGGAATTTGAGATGCATCCGTGTTTGCATATTATGTGTGGGTTTGGATGGTGTTAGTCTCCCTTGACTGCCTGCGCTCCGAGGGATTGGTGTGTTAACATTGCCTATCTTCTTATTGTCACTGCCTTCCTCAAATCTTTATTTGTATGAGTGACAAACTAGCTCCACCTTTGCCTTCTAACTGGCATTTCAGTTCTGTTGCTTTTTTTTGATCTAACCATGTTCATTCTACTTCTGTTTACTCCCTGTGGCACTCTTCCTCTAACTGCAGTTCAGTGCTACCATGCTTGATATTCCTTGGCCAGCTGACAGCTCACTTATCTAATGCACGTGGAGCCTAACAGTTTCATAGACAGGTACTACTTCTTGTCCTGGGCTTCTGGTCAGTAGGGTTTTTTTCCCCAACCTATATTATAAACTTTACCCTGCATGTAGATGAACAGAAGTAATGGCTTCACAGAGGGGTATGAACTCTTCCTATTTAAATTGCTAACGTACAAGTCTGACTAATGTTAACATGTTTAGTCGTTTATCTGTTGGCTGTTGTTCTAGCAGAAATGTTAGTCAAGCATTCATAGATCATGGGTGGAGTTTTAGTTTGTGAATAAAAGAAATACCACCAGTTCTACCAGCAAATCTGAGTACTTTGTCCTCAGACTTGCTGTCAGTATTTTTCTGAAAATACCCAAGCAATTCTTAGTTGCCAAAATTGCAGTTTTGGACAAATGTATATTGTTTAGAAACATTTTACTTTAAAGTTAAAAAGTATTTTTCCACTTGTATTGTGTATGTTCAGTTATATAGCCCAAAACTTCATTCTTAATCTACTTTAACTTTCACAGTAATTCATTGAAAGAACAAACTCTGATAGCAGACTCAGTTGAAGGCAGGCATTTTAGCCAAAAATTCTGCTACTGTTAATATTTGAGCAGTTTGTAATGCACATAAATGATTTATCACACATGTTTTATAAAAAACTTAGAACTGAATCAATCTGTGTTCCCTGAACTGTAGAATGTCAAGTGACAAGAGCACTTTTATCAATCAGCACGGTTAGAATTTCAACACAGGAGCTTTCTGCATTATGTTTTAAGTGATCTTGTTTGTCTTGATTAATTTTCTACTGCATATTTACATGGTTACTAGAAAACAGAGGGAGGGGGAAAGAGAGAGATGTATGTAATCGTTTTTGTAATTTTTTTCAGGTATTTTTAGCAGCAATGATGTAGCAGTATCATTTCCAAATGCAGTATCTGGCTCAGGATCTAGCACTCCCGTTTCCAGTTCTCATTTACCTCAGCAGGCTTCAGGCCACTTGCAGCAAGTGGGAGCTCTGTCACCTTCAACTGCGCCTTCTGTAACTACTGTTGTTGCTGCAACTCAGGTAAACTATCACAAGAGTTTAAGATAGCAAACCGTGTTATTCACCCGCTTATTTTCAATGTTGAAAGAAAGAATAATTTGTTTGGAAAAGAGGTTAATAAACACTGTGTTTGTTACGAAAATGTTACAGTGGGGAGGTTCCCCATAATGTTACGTTGTCCCATCTTTGTAGAGCACATAGGTTTTTAAAAATGGTCTGTGGAAGTATGTGGCAATAGTGACTGTGTTATGACTAGTAGCATAAATGCTGGTTACAGTTCATCCATGCTCTAACCAACATCTGTCACCACAACAGTGTTTTAAGAAAGGGTTTAAAAGAGGAAAACATGTCAAGTTTTGTGTGTTTCATACAAAAATGCTGGTGTCTGTTAAAAAACGGGGGAGTTTATTTTTGAGATTGGACACATGGGCAACTAAGGCTAGCCCTGGCAAAGAGGTGGCTGAGCCTGACATCTCGATGGCAAATGAAAGTGGACATAGATGCTACAGTTTTGTGTTCGGAAGGTCATACCAGTAAAGATATGTAGTTCATCTTTGATGATGAAGGAATAAGGGAGGCGCTGGAGGAGTGCAGAAGGGTGACATAGTCGAAGTAATGAACCAGCAAAAATATCTTTATGATAGTATTTTGTATTTGAGTTGGGCAAGATTGCATTTATCAAGGCAAAAGAGTGCGAAGTTCAGTTGTAGACAGCCACTGTGATGAGAGCAGACGTATGAAGGAATACTGTACTGGAGGTAATGTTTTTATACTTTGTGTTTCTTGCATTTTTCAGTTTCTGATGGGAATCTGTTTTACAATGAAAGTATCAAATACATATATTTAATGTGTATATAAACCATCAAGTTTAATTTTATAGAGTCTGCTGTGATTTAACATAGTGGATATAAACCTGAGGAATTAAAATCGAGCCCAATACATATACTTCCATGCGTGTGTGTGTACGTGCACACTTGTGTGTATAGTACCTGTATAGTAGAAATACTGTGTGCAGGCCAATGTAGAATGCATTTCAGTATCAAATAACACTTTTATTATAGGTGGTAGTTTGTATTTTTATGTAATTCTTCTGGTTTCCTAAAGAAATAAGGCTTGGGCTATGCCACTGTGTCTGTCTGGCTTCTGCCTTGTAACTTTGGAACCTGTTGGCTAGTTTCACACACAATTGGGTGATGTCCCTGTTGCACAAATGGATAGAAACTATTTTAAAGAAATTAAAAATATGGTGCTTTGGCGAAGAGCCAATATAGCTTTTATGAAGGGAAATCACAACCAATTGGAGCCGCTTCCTTTTTTTTTCCCCATTTCCTTAAATTCCCAAATTGTGTTGCACAATTTAACTCACTAAAGACACTTAGACTGAGCAGTCTGGAGGTAAGGGGAGAGGTTGTGTCGTAGTTTAGTAGCAGATTAAAAGATTTAAAAAACCCCAGATGAGTAGGTGCTTAGTTTTCACAGAGAGGTTTACCATCGGTGTCTTGGAAAGATCATCATTATGGCCTTTTGTACAGCTCAGCGTGTTCATAAATGATCTAGGAAAAGGAGGAGAACAGAAACTGAGTTTGGTGGTTGTGCTGTGTTATGCAGTGAGCTTCTATGAAGGTCAACCGTCACAAAGTGCTCAAAGGCCTCATGAGCCTACGTTGACAAGGTGGTAAGGACAACGGGCTAATGACACTGATGTTAAAGGGAAGAGGCAGTTTCTACTCAAAACAGATACTGTAGTTACCAAAAGAGGTAGAAGAGCAGCCATCCTAGTGAACAATAGCAAGGAACAGCATCTTTATAAGGAATGAGTAAATAGTGTGAACTCTTGGACTGAAAAAAGAGACACTGAGATGGGATAAGACAAAGGTCCTAAAATCACAAATTACATAAAAAGTTAAATCGGCAAGAATTGTGTACCATCACTTCTATTTGTTAAACTTTGTCAGAGGATAAACAGATTCAAAAAGCAATGGGACAGAGCTGATATTTAACAGGTAGGAACAGAAACACCGTAGTATTTTGTTCCTCATGTGTCACAAAAGGTGAAGTGTACCCTAGGAGGTGAATTTTCTTAGTGTTTAGCTGAACTAGAGAGCCCTCCATAGGTTAAGTGCTTAAAATTCCTGTCCTTCCTTTGGCTCTGTTTTTGAGGAGATGTGTTGTTTTGATTTTTTTTTTTTTTAAATTGGTTTGGTTTTTGCTACTTGTGTCACTCTAATAGGTGGATTGAATGCTTTTTCCCAACTTGCAAGACTTTAAAATTACAAGCAGGTCTCCCAGCTGGAAGTGTCTTTGATTCACACTAAATCATGACAACTGCCTGTAAGGTGCCTTTTGTTTTTCCTGGACTCTGGGACTCTGTTTCAGTTGATGAGGCCCTTACTAGTGTTTGAACAGGCTCAGTCAAGAAAGCCTATTTTACCATGCGGTTGTTCTCCAGTTCGAGAACATACACCACCCCCCACCTCCCACCCCTGTTTTTTTTCCCCATACAGTTATCATAAATGACTGACTATACTTCAAGGGTTAGGGCTTACCTACTTAGTTCTGCAGTCTTTCATCAGAGTCCTGTGTCTGCTTACTGGGCTCTTGTGGATGTATTCTCAGTGTTTACCCACCACTTCACCATGAAAGTCTTCAAATAATGGTGTGGTAATGTATTTTTTGTGTAGTGTTCTAATTAAAAGATCAGTCAAGATACTAGGTGTACATACAGTGGTTATAAGTTAAGGTAAGCTTGGGTTTCTATAGCAGATGAGAAGTAATAGTTAAAAGGTAGGGTTTGTTCATACTATTAGTTGAGAGATCAAGTATGCCCAAACCTTTGTTGCTCAGCTATTTGGTCAGGATGGCAGACATGCAGTTGGAATAGTACTGAAGATTGGAATAGCCTCAAAGATGTGCTGCTGAGGTGCACTCCCCGAAGGTTTCAGCTGTTAAGTTTTCTTAGATCTCTGTTGGGCATTTGTAATTATGATTTTGTGGACATCATAAATTAGTCAATTTTTGATGGAGATTTTTTTTTTAAAGCAAGAGTATTAAGAAATTCTACAAAGAAGGTTTTGGGGAAAAAAAATTATTTCCATAGAATTAGTCTCAAAGTTGGCTGAATTCTTTTGATTAGGAGGTTATGGTAGATGTAATGCAGAAAATTGTGTTCATATTATTAAGAAAACATGCCATCAATTGAAAGCAACTGTCCTACAGTGAGAAAATTTGGTAATACTACTATGCCTTTTGTTATTTTTTTAATAACTGCTGTGCCCATATAAAACTTCAGTGGCTAAAACTGCCAGGTGCTATTTTTTTCCTTCAACAACTAAACAACACCTATTTTAAAGCTTACACCCCGCCCCAGCTTGAAAATCCTGGATTTTGATTATTTCGGTCTATTGTCTACTACGATAGTTTTCATACTGTGGTTTTTGTTTGTTTGTAAGACAGAAATGCAGTAGGAGCTTTGTTGCAATCACCTTTCCTTTTGTGTCTCATTTTCTTCTCCCTCATGCCACTCATAATTTTTATTCCAATCTAATACATCCAGAAGAGATTATTAGCTTGTGTTCCATGCTGTGCCAAAACTGAATTTAAATGCTGGTGTTCCTCGCCAGGTGGGAATCAGTGGTCTAGTAAAAATGCCACTTGCTGGAAATGCAGATTTTTTTTTTTTTTGCTTAATATTCCTTTTTTATGTGTCTTGGGCCTGTAACCTCAGATAGGTTACACTGCTTAATTCAGCAAGGCTTTATTAGCATAACGATGCATTTAACAACTGCAAGAATATGGGGAAAAACGGGGTACAGGAAAGGGGGTAGAGCCCACACAAATATTTGCTCCTGTTTTTTCTGAATTGATGCGTGTTTTAGGACTGCCTGTTTTACATGTAACAGCAAACTACTGTGTCCCAAACTGCAGTCTCAGAAGCATGACTTTTAACTTTTGTATGAATATTAATATATGTTCTTTCTTGCATTTGGATTTTGAATATTGTCTTAATTTTTCCCTGTTAATCCAAGTCACAAGTTGCACCACTCTGAGGTCCTATTCTTAGTTTTTCTCTCAAAGATTTCCTTGTTTTTAATAATTAGAGCAAAAATGTATGCCATCCTGTTAGGCTGTTCTGTAACAGTTTGTTGTATTGCTCTTTCTGATAAATTATTCTTAGTGCTTAATGTATATTCATTAAAAAAGCTGTGACCTAGGTACCTCAGTATCTTTTGGTATTGTGCAGCAGGATTTGTTTTCTGCTCATCGGGAAAGGGTTGTTAGTTTAAAAATATATTTATTTATTAAAATTTTTACTTAAATGTTTGCTACTTTGGTTGAGACTAAAATTGAAATTGGTTGAGCTGCCTGTTCTTTCTGATGATTTAAATGAGTGCAATTACCCTACTCTCTGGCTGTTTGTTTCTGAGGTCTCTATGTTCAGAATACAGGATAAGAGTCTTGAAATGGAAGTCAAGGTTTTTGACTGAGTTTTCTTCCAGTCACTGATTATTAAAACCATCTCTCAGGCTGTATTCCTTTAAGAAAAAACATGCATTTAAGTATCTTGTCATTTCATTTCAACAGTATTCTTAGTGGGAGTGGAAATGGCATGTAGTGGTTTCTTTAAGACATACAGCCTTTTATTTTTAAACATTTGTAGCTCATCGACTCTTTGGCGCTGGTATTGTAAGTTTCAGTAATGTATCTGTGGTCTTTACATTATAGTAACCTCAGTTTATTCAGAAATTTCCAGGATTTATTTGTATTCTGGAAATTTAATATGATAAAATGGTGACTTTGTAGATGATTTTTTTTCCCCCCTTCTCCCATGTGATGGTATCTGTGCTCTTAGTGACTGTAATAAGCACATCTGTGAGGCAGTTTCAAGCAGTATTGCACATACTTGTCACTAACTGTTCTACAGATCCTATCCAAAAGATTATTTTCTCTTTCTTAGGACAGAGAGGAAAATGGGGTTTTTGCTAGTGGATTCTTCCTTCTTTTTTAAGCTGTTTTTCTTCCTC